TAGATCTGATGTTCCTCTTCCATGCCCTTGTCGGAGGCGTCCAAGAAGGCTGTTTGTCCACTCATACTTGAAAGACCTACGAGCTCTTGAAGCCTTGACTTTACTGGATTTGGAGATCAATACTGAACATGGCAGATGATCGCTTCCGTGATCGCCCAGTACAGTCCATTTGGTATCCAGTACTTCTGACTGGGTAACAAACGCCAGGTCAATAGCCGTGTCTGCATCCTCGGGCCTCACAGCCATTCTGGTTGACCTCTGGCTAAAGCATTGGAAAGAGCAGGCATTACAACAGTTTTCTTAATGCTCAGTCTACGAAGGCTTAGATGACTGGAGAATGGAGGACTGAAAAGTACATACAACACTCACAATAATCAACATTTAACATTGGTGAATTAAAAACGGGTAGAAAATGTCGAGGCCGACCTCTACTACGATATAAAGATGTGTGCAAGAGGATCATGAAGGATACAGGTACTGAGGTGGACTCGTCGGAACAAAATGCCATGGACCGTGTTGTGTAAAAAGGGCTCATCAAAAAGAAAACGAGAATGAAGACAGAAATGATTGCAGAAAAGATGAGTCTGATGAGAAATAGACTAAACACAAATGTTGACAACTGTCCTAAAATACCATGCTATAACTGTTGCTGACTTTTCCTTGACGCAGGCGTGTATTGCTAGTCACATTAACTATCGTCATGGGCTGTGATACCCTTGCCTCCTCATAGCGCAATTTAGCGCTGTCGTCTGGAAAGACATAAAGATTTCAAATCAATCATCCCCCCCCTCCCTTTTTTCCTCTTCCGCATGGGGCACTAGAGCCCACACAATTAAATAAATCAGTGTATGAAAAAGGAATAGACCCACTGCCTCCACACCACATTTTTTCAAACGATCGTGTGATACAGACCAGTGTTTCTCAAACTCTGGACACCAGCGGCCCACAAAATTGTTTCGGCGCATCTGACAACTAACCAAACAGAGAGACAAATGTGTAGAGGTCATAATAACACTCAGCCGGGAATGCAGAGACTGGCCAGCAGATGTCAGGGAGATGGAAATTCAGCAATTATTTTAAGATAATGCTCGCTCAGAGGATTTGATCATTTACACAGACGGTTTAGTGTCAAGAGGCAAAAGACGTGCTTGTGGCTTCTTAGCAAAAGATAATGGTCAACGCTTGGTGCAGGAGGGCCTAGCATATGATACCACAACATCAAGCTCAAGAATGGAGGTGGAGGCGGTCACTGCAGCGTTCCGCTGGTTAGAGAACACACACACATCGTGATTGTAACTGACTCAGAAAGCATGCTGATTAAGATTAGGACCGGCATACAGAGTAGCATGCTTCGCTGCGAACACGGGTGAGGAGTATTGTCTGGATTTTTTTTTACCGGGGCACGCAGGTGTGTTAAGAAATTAACAGGCGGGCAGATTGGCTGGTTCTGCACAACTGGGTGGAATACTGATACATGATAAGGCAGACGTGGTTAGTGCCTTGTGGAAGAGCGTGTACAGTTCGGAGGAGCAGATTGATCACCACAGTCTGGTGAGATTGATGCAAGGGGGGAGTGACGAGAGGTTCTTGCAGATGCTTGAGGCTCAGAGGAAAGGAAAGAGGGACGTTTAATCAGAATGCTAATGGCACCATTAGTATCAGAACTCTTCGCCGGCTTTTACTACTGACATGGCTGAGAAAGTCTCTTCAAGCAAATAGGAAGTAGAAAAAAAAAATAACCAACAAATCTTTGATAGCTTTATAACTCTGACATGGATATTCTTTTTTAAGTGATATCCAAATCAGCGCCAAGACACAGACTATATACAGCATACCAACATTGTACTACCAGTGCCAAGCTTGGACATTATCAATGCTAAACTACGAAAAACTGTAAAATGAGATACAATAGAAAAGCCGAAAATTAACCATCCGAGACAACTTTAGGAATGATACTATCAGATAGACTGTATGAACATCAACATGCAGCAAATTCAATGAGATCAGAATATCAGATGGTTTGGTCATTTAGTAAGAATGCAGTCAGAACATTTAACAACGCAGGAGCTACATGTGAAAAAATCTGAGGTGAAAGAAAGAGACCGCTCTAGAAGGAGTGGATTGATGACATTAAAATGCTTCTGCATCAACACAGAATAACAATAGCCATTGCTGCCCATCAAGTAATAAATCGCAAACTGTTCATCCCCACAGTGCTTAACAACAGAACTGGAAATTGATGATGATAATGATCCAGAACTCATTGATTTCTTTTTAAATCTGGACACAAGACTGACATCAGAAGACATCTCGAACAGTTTTTCCTTGTCATTATAATCAAAGGCGCATGATTTTACATCTTTCAAGAACTGATTATTAATCAAACAGTTGCCTTTACGAGGATCCAAGTTTTCAGAGAGATCATTTTCAGTTTTCATCTAACGTCTGTAGGCCTTGATACTAACAAATCCTGTTGAGTATCACATGTACCTGTTTGATTCTCATCCTTAAGGTGTTAATACTGAAAGAAAAAAACTACCTGCCCTACAACGTTACATCATTTGGCAGAGATGTGTACGACCCACCTGGACTTTCCCGCCACTCACCAGTTGAAAGAACATTCTTTAAACTAATAGGAGTCTGTTGAAATCCGATGTGTTAGGCCGAAAGTCTCACATATCGTCGTTTAACTGTAAACTATAACACGGCGTGTAAACAAAGTTCTCTTCCACCAACTAATGTGTCAGTTAACTGAACTCAACATCCCCCCACCCCCACACACACATCTCATTCGATGGATATCTGCCGCACTTTTTCAGAGGAAGGTCGTGCTTCGATGCGGTAGTTGGTCTTCTGAGCCGATAAAGATACACTCTGGTTTGCCACAGGGTTGTCCATTGTCCCCTATCCTCTTCAACATTTACACAGTCAAGATCACAGGAGAACAACTGAGTGGCAGAGGAAGAACTCAGCCATATGCGGATGACATCCTCGTGTACCGACAGAACAGGAACAGAGATGGCATTGTTTCAAATCCACAATAGAAATTAGATCGCATATCATCCTGGTGCAAAACCTCAGTGGCAACAATAAAACCATCAAAAGCGACCTGGTTCTAATTAAATAATCACCTTTGGCGCTGACGTGTAGAGATTTGATTCCATGAACTACCTGGGTAGAACATTTGACAGATGCTTAGCATTAAAAGAAAACGTAGACCAAATTATAACCATAGCCAAAAAAGGTCTCTCCGCAATAAAAGTTGTTGGAGCTTGAAATGAACCTTGGTTTGACTTGAAATGAACCTTGGTTTGCACTGGCTTTTACGTCTAGGGTACATCAGTTGTACATCGTCAGTTTATTCATTTATTTCACACATGTTCTCTCCCCTCGCGACATATTCGAATATCCCTGGCTATGACCACGAGAAACTCAGCCCTCGTGCACACGGATGACCACAATGACTGGAGAGAAAAATTGAACAGACGCAAACTTTGAGCAACAGCTACTTGTAATGTATAGTTCTTCTCTCCCCATTATTCTTAGATGCACTATGAAACTCAGACACAGATGAAACAGATTGGAAAAAGTTGAAAACTAGGCAATGTAATTCTTAGATGACTAGAGACACCTCCATGCGATACCTCTTGGATTTCCCCACAATGGAAAACAGAATCAAGCTATCCAGAGCTGTTGCTTTTCCTCGAAGTGAAATCAAACCATCGACACCCACTTTATGAGGGGAAAAAAAAAGAAGATTATGCCATCACATGTTTGCTGCCTTACTGACATTAATTTTGAACTGAATTGATAATTATGCCTCCTTCTGCAAACATTAATATTACAGTCCATATCACACTTGATGGAAACTGTAGAGGGTAGATTCCTGTCATTATTGACACTTTAGTCAGAACACTGATTGACGAAAACACAGATGAAGGTGATGCTATGGTTTACACAGATGGGTCAGTAATTAGGGGCAAGCGAAGTGTATGGGCCTTTACAGTAATCTCAAGGGGAAAAACCATCAAGGCGACGAATAACGCCTTTGCTGTTACAACTAGTAGCCTTAAAATGGAAACTATGGCTGTAACAAGGGCTTTTGCATGGCTTGGTACTCGAAAGTTCACACACGTATGCGTTCTTGGTGATTCGATGAATATGCTAAAAAAAAAAAAAACCTAGATTTATCAGGCAAGAATGGAGTGCAACACTAAGCAGTTCACGAATATCTGCCCTAACCTTCATCTTTGTGCCAGGACATGCGGGTGTTCAAGGGAATGAGCGTGCAGACTATCTTGCTGACACTGCGGTTGCAATGACTGGCCCAGTACTGGACAGTAGTGATGTTATCAATGAAATTCGCGGCACTTACCGTACCGAGGAAGCACGCCAAAGGACATGAATCCGTATCCCTGCATAGACTGATGGACATTAGGGTGCAGCCTGGAGCTGCAAAAAATTAACATTTCACTAAGGCGACAAGACGTTTCATTAACCAAAACAGAACAAGCGTCATCAGTCGTTTTACACTTGTGGAGCTTTTGAGGAGGAGGAGATCGGAGCATCTATGGATGTGTCCGGAGTACTGTGATAATAATCCTTTCTAATCACTAATCACCGCATGTAAAACATATTTTAAGCAGCAAACGGATAAGAAGAAGAGAAGAAGAAGAAGAAGAAGAAGAAGAAGAAGAAGAAGAAGAAGAAGAAGAAGAAGAAGAAGAAGAAGAAGAAGAAGAAGAAGAAGAAGAAAGAAGAAGAAGAAGAAGAAGAAGAAGAAGAAGATTAGGCGGGAGTGAAGGAATGCATTAAAAGACAATAATCTTGATTTTTGATTTAACTTAGGTTCAGAAACTGTAAACTATCTGGCAACACCGGTTCTCGGTGCCTCAATGGCGACTGTGATGAGAAATAGGATTACTGCTTCCTTACGCGATATTTGAAGTAGTTTCTTACTCTTTATTTTAGTGTAGATTTTATTAAAAGTAGCAGTAAACATGGACAGTCCTGAATTTATCATAGACACAGACAGTGAAGTTCGAAAACTGCAGGAACTTGTTAAAAAACTTGAGTACCAGAATGAGGTATTGAGAAGTAAACAAGGCGGAGGTGACAGTGATTCAGTGATGTCCACAACAACAACGGAATGGAGATATTGACCAAGTTTATAAGAATAACGTCAACGATTATGATCTATCTACAGACCTTGGTCGAATGAAGCTTCTTGACAACTTTGTTCTGGACGATTTGGAAGATGTGAATTTTTCCGATCTCCCGGATGATGATGATAGTTGGTGAGAAAATTTATAAAATTAAAATGGCATTCAATTAATTCATTATTAAAAATTTAAACACACGACTGAGGCCCTGTTAGAGTATTTATTTGGCCGCCATAATATGGGGTAGGAAGTTCTAAGGAGAGCCGAAATTGAATATTATTACTAATTAAAATTAATAAATTAAGTCCTGCTTTCACATCCTCCAGTCCCTTGCAGGGAGGATTGATTGAACTCGTTTTATCATAAATGCTCTTTCGTTCCTATTCTAATAGTTGGGATCCACTACTACACCCCCTCCCCTCCCCAAGCTTTATTTTAAAAAGTAACTAATTAGAAGTTTGCTGAAATTGGATGTGTTGGGCAGAAAAGTGGAAATAATGCAGCCTAGCTGTGAACCACAACGCACCAGCCTGCCTTTTAAAGGTAAATGGAGAAGAAGAAATCATAAACAATTGTTACTTTAAGTAAGTCTTAGCTGGGCCTGAATGAGTTCAACTAATAATAGTGTATGACAATGGTTCTCAACCTTCCTAATGCCGCGGCCCTTTAATACAGTTCCTCGTGTTGGGGTGACCCCCAACCATACAATTAATCCATAGAAATAATTTCATTGCTACTTCATAACTTCAGTGAACATGTGTTTTCTGGTGGTCTTAGGCGACCCTTGTAAATGGGTCGTTCGACCCCCAAAAGGGTCGTGACCCACAGGTTTAGGACTGCTCCTGTAGTGAGATACAATAATGTCAGATTAGAATGGATTAATCTACCAGCAAGGTGAGAAATACTGACAAAAGACAAGTGTTTCATGTAAATAGTAAAAGCATATTGAGTTAACTGATATTGAAAGAGTTAAAGTTGCCTTTAACTTTAAACTTTAGAGAAATCATTTTCAACCATCAATACTGTCAGCCCATCAGTCAGGGTTCTAGCATTTGTCACTTCATGCAAACCTGTCATCCCATTATTGCTCCATTCCTGTGCCCGTGAAAAACACAAAATGCCCATCACTGTCCCTTGTGAACAATCCAACAGCAGCAGTCTCTGCAAAATCCAACCTCTCACAGTCTCATCAAATGCAGATTGCAGACACCAGATGTGCCAACACGTACAGTTTTACTACCATAAATACTAGTATGATTCAGTGCCATTTAACTGTTGCATTATAATTATTTTGTAACCCTAAGACCATTGAAATACATGTGAACAGTAAATTCACATGAATTAATTAGCCAAGATTTATCGAAAGAAAGCAAGATGTCAGAAGATTCTTGACTGCTTTTGTGACATGTCTTGGTCAGGAATTAGTGTTTGTCCACAAATTAATACATGCTGTTGATTACAAGATATGAAGAAGAATGGTCACCCACACATGGTCACCCACACACTTCAACAAAGCTCTTGATTGTTATTAGCACTCATAGAAATTAGTAAAGGACCCATTTTCATGCTATCAGGCATATTGAGCGTATATAATGCTAAACCTGTTATTTAAACAGGAAAAGCACTTGGTTAGTGATTTGGTCAACATCACGCTGGCCAACATTACTTGCCAGGACTTTACCTAATGCCCATTTTTAAAAATGTTGTAAAGCGTATGCTTGTAAAGCTACTTGCCAGGTGCCTAGATTAACTAGATGATTAACGCTTCATCCATATATGCAGAAGTCCCCAAGTTGACTGTCAGATGACTAATTGGGTTCCCTACCAGAGAGTGCTTAACTAATACAGTTCACATAGTCACATCATACAACTAACACTAATAACAATCAACCACATCAACAATACGGGAAGAGTATCTGCCTTGTCATATATCTATTCACCCAGTGGTGCAGATCCAGCCAGTCCTCTGCCTGTTCATTCCCCACCATGCCAGCATAGTCTGGAGACAAGATCCAGAGTATGCTCTCTACCCGTGACCTTGCTAGTGAAGCTTGCCATTCTGTTCGAAGCAGTCCTGTCGTCACCTTTTTCAGCATGCTGTCAGAGTCCAATTACAGTTACGACATGTGTATGTATCATGTTCTCTAGCCACTAGCATGCTGCAGTGACTGCCTCCACCTCCATTCTCATCCTAGATTTTGTAGTATCAAATGCCAGGCTGTCCTGCACTAAAGATTTTCTACTGGCTTTCGCTACGATACATCTGGCACTTCTCTTCCCTGTTATGTTATACATCAATTTTATACAGATACAGTGGTAACACAGCCAGAGGTCGAACACGCAGAAGATAGATCGCAGAAATATCAGAGATACTGAAAAGTACTTCATTCAACGCGAACTAAAGGACCCGTTCCAGAGATCTCTTTGCGCCCTGGCGCCTTAAGGCATTACAGGAGTCGAGAAAAGAAGAAGCAGAAGTATTTTATTACACATCCATACCATTGCATTTGATATGACTAAGCTACTGCAGTGGTTACTACTAACTCTCTGTTAGCACCAAATGTTGGCCAGTGTATAATGAACCACAACATCCGAACATCATGCCAATGGCTTCGTGCAAAGAAGCACATTAAGGAGGGATCTGTTATTTTAGGATTAGGACATGCAGCTTGAAAACTTGATTTAAATAATGCGGACATAAACAGTACATTGCACAATTTATGGCCAGGAATAAACTTAATGTTATAATCGGACAGATCAGGCCCTAAGTCTTAGTTGACAGCTGGTCGGGGAGCTAGGTTGTGATAGTTGGGTAGACACAGCACCTGTGTGCAATATTTTGAGGCCCACTTGAATGTATTCCATTTAATTCTTTCTTTCATGTTTATAGTTACTCCCCTTTTTTTATATTACTTTACACGAATTGTGCTTAATGTGAATAAATACATTAAAAAAAATATTATTAGTGTGTTGTTTTTAAAATTGCGTTTTGCGTACATTTTTCTAATTGTTTCTGGATCAAAAGGTCTAACACATGTACTCACTGTTTCCCAGGTTGTACACTTCCCCAAAGGCTGCAACTACCCCACAACCAAAGGAGCCCTTACTGTCATGGGTGCGACAGGACTTTGACCATCCATGCCCAGAAGTAGAGTCTGCTAGGAGAGCTCTCATTTGTAGACTGAATGAAGCGGCTCGCTGTAAGTGTATAGTTGCTTCTTTTAAAAGGTTTTAGGTCCCTTTACATACCAGTGGCACATTGGGCACATGAGGCTAGACTCATATTTTTATAGACTGAGCGGCCCTCTATGGGTAATTTGGTAAACATCTCGACGGCCACCTTTACTTCACAGAACTTTACATGGTACCCATTTAAGACTGGGTCAACCTGTAAGCCAAAGTCATGTTTGAAAAAAGTTATCCGACTCCATGGGGATTTGAACACATGACCTTAGGATCTGCAGGCTGGGATCTAGCTGCTACACCACAGTGGCTGTCAGTTACTTCTTTATATAAATAATAGATTCATTTTCACAATTTAAATTAATATTGTCTTTTTGTTAGAGTTTTGACTGACTGACATTTAACCCCACTAGGACATCACACTGAGTGGCGATAAACATCGGGTGACACAAAGTGCCACTGTTCAGATGAGGATCACAGGAGTCAGGCCCCAGAAACCCCGTTCAACCCATAGGGTTATATTTAGGGCCCCCAACCATAGCCGGGGTGGGGCTTCAAAATAACAAAAAATTGCATCTTGTGTGGGGACAGAAAATTGTTACAGCTCTATAGATTTTTGTTTAAATAACAGATTCATTGTCACGAGGAAAATGAATATTATCATTATTAGTTTCATAGATTGATTAGATAATAGGTTAGTTTTCACAGTAGAAATGAATATAGTTTTTAATTATAATTCCGTAGATTGTTGTTTAAATACACAGTGCAATAGACGCACTGTCCCTGAGGAGCGGCTGACCTAATGTTTAAGAACACTTTTCTCTTATTTGGGAGACCTAGGTTCGAATCCCTTGTAAGATTCTGGATTATTTCTATCTTGGAAAAAATAAAATCTTAACAGCCTGTGGCGACAGCATTAGGTATGCGGCCCTATTTAGGCTCAACCCCCACACCCCTTTTACATCATAAAAGTGGTTTTGGCTCCCCCACCAAGCATGTCATAAAAGGCGAATAATTAGGAGTTTGCTGAAATTGAATATGTTGGGCTGAAAGGCACAGAAATCACAGCCCAGCTGTTAACCTCAACACAACATGCTAAATGCATATATATTCATTGAAACAATTAAAATGACTTAATTCACAGTTTCATGCTTGTTTTCTTGCCAGTGAAGCATAGTTCCAGTTCACCAGTTATCAGTGGCCAGGCATTTGCTAGCAAGTCAGCAGTGTCTTTAAATCGGCCAGCAGAGGGAAACAATAATACACCTTCAAGAAGTTTGTTGCAGGCAAGGACAGGTATTCCAACATCAGGTATGTCTTAGTAGTCTTACATTTATCAGTTATCATTAACACTGACTCCTGAGAAGACTAAATTTGTTCACTTCCTGTTCTGACACAGTCCCATAAATGCCAGTATATCGGCCTGTCTGCAGTGGCCTGTTTTCAAAAAGCGTAGTTAAATTACATTGGTTCTGTTTACGCCTGTGCAGTTTTTAATAGGCAAGGATATGCAAATAGTAACTAAAAATAGCACGGAGGGGGGGGGGGGGGGGGGGGGTTCTTATGACCCTAATGGCTTATTTAAAGCTAAGTTCATGTTACATTTCTCTATTAGCCTCAATGATAGAGGTCATGGGGTCACAGCAGAAGTCACCCACATAGTTATTGTTTGTGGGAGTGTATTCCATTTAATGCTTCACTGTCTTTGGTCATGGTTATTGAATACCCCTTTTGTATGTCTTTATATATTTTGAAAGCAGTAGAAGAAATGTAAATAAATTGCTAGAACTTCTATTAGTGACCTGTGTAAAGTGTTATCTTTTTAAATGCTTTTTTCCGGGAATCCCATGACCCATTTTCTAAAAAAGTTTAACGGGGGCGAAAGGGTAAACAGCTGAAAATGATATTGAACTCAGAACTCTCACTCCTTAAAGGCTGTTAGGAATCTTCTTTAATTGTCTTTGTCAACCTTTCTTTCCTCAAATCTTTCCAGATGTCACAACCATAAGTTTTCTTTTTCATAAAATGGCCAGAAAAATTATGATCGGTTGTTTCTGAGTCAAGACATAGTAGTTCAGTCACTGTGTACATTAAAAAAAAAATTGTGTTATTGTAATAACAGTCATAGTAACTAGTATATCTTTTTTTTTAGACAGACATCTTTCCCCCTCTAACATGCATTTTATTCTTAGACATCATTTGTCCCCTAACATGCATTATATTCTTTCTTTTTTAACAGTCAGACCAGAGCATCTCAGCAAGAGGGCCACAGTCGTGTCAAGTTTAATGCTTTCTTTTTGAGTCAGTCTAGAAAACTTTCTTTTTGACAATCAGTTCAAATTGTCTTTCCTCGATAGTCAGTCCAGAAAACTTTCTTATTGACAATTGGGCCGAATCATCTTTCCTTGACAATCAGTCCAGAAAACTTTCTTATTGACAATCAGTCCAGAAAACTTTCTTATTGACAATCAGTCCAGAAAACTTTCTTATTGACAATCAGTCCAGAAAACTTTCTTATTGACAATCAGTCCAGAAAACTTTCTTATTGACAATCAGTCCAGAAAACTTTCTTATTGACAATCAGTCCAGAAAACTTTCTTATTGACACTGACAATCAGGCCAAAACATTTTGTGTGTGTGGGCGGTCATACCATAAATCTTTCTTAAAGACAGTCTAGCCACATCTTTTTTCCTTTTTTTTTTTTTTTACAATCCACATATATATATATATATATATATTTAAAAAAAATGTGTTGGCCACCTAAAACATCTAACTTTTAGACATTCAGACAATATTTTAAATTTTTTTAAGCTATTCGGCTAAAGCAGCCTTCTTGATGTGTGGCTTAGAGGTTAGTGAAATGGTTTCACAATGCAGTCATCAGTTTTAACCATGGTTTGATTTCAGTGATTTAGAAAAAAACAAAAAGGACAGATCTGATGACTTTCAGACAGAAGCACAAGACTCTCACCATGGAGGACATTGGGTCTACACCATGTAATTCAATGTGTCTGTGATCGAGGCAGACAGAAGCACAAGACTCTCACCATGGAGGACATTGGGTCTACGCCATGTAATTCAATGTGTCTGTGATCGAGGCAGACAGAAGCACAAGACTCTCACCATGGAGGACATTGGGTCATGTAATTCAATGTGTCTGTGATCGATGCAGACAGAAGCACAAGACTCTCACCAGGGAGGACATAGGGTCTACGCCATGTAATTCAATGTGTCTGTGATCGAGGCAGACAGAAGCACAAGACTCTCACCATGGAGGACATAGGGTCTACGCCATGTAATTCAATGTGTCTGTGATCGATGCAGACAGAAGCACAAGACTCTCACCATGGAGGACATAGGGTCTACGCCATGTAATTTAATGTGTCTGTGATCGAGGCAGACAGAAGCACAAGACTCTCACCATGGAGGACATAGGGTCTACGCCATGTAATTCAATGTGTCTGTGATCGAGGCAGACAGAAGTACAAGACTCTCACCATGGAGGACATTGGGTCTACGCCATGTAATTTAATGTGTCTGTGATCGAGGCAGACGGAAGAGCAAGAAGCAGAACTTTGCCTCAACACCTGAAGCAGTAAAAGAGGAAGTGAAGATGAATAGATGGAGACCATGTAATATTCCCATAGTTTGCAGTGAATACATTGCAGCCAACCTCCATTGTGGTGATGACGTATTTGTTTTTTAAATCTTGTCTTGATGAAGCCAACATCACTTCAGGATTCACCATATTCTTTCTGTTTAACAGTCAGTTCAGTCCAGCTTCACCCGATTCTTTCTCTGTGACATTCAGGCAGATTGAACTGTACCATATACTTTCTCTGTGACATTCAGGCAGATTGAACTGTACCATATACTTTCTCTGTGACATTCAGGCAAATTGAACTGTACCATATACTTTCTGTTTGACAGTCGGGCTGTCCAGGGTTACAGTATATTTTCTGTTTAACAGGCTGGCCACCCTAACTTTCTGTTTTATAATCAATCTTCAAAATTTTCTTTCTATTTGATGAGTAATCATCATGATGTTCTTTCTGTTTGACAGCAAGTCCTAACCATATTCTCTCTGTTTGACAGTAATTCCTCCCCGTGTTCTTTCTGTTTGACAGTAAGTCCCCACCGTGTTCTTTCTGTTTGACAGTAAGTCCCCACCGTGTTCTTTCTGTTTGACAGTAAGTCTTCACCACATTCTTTCTGTTTGACAGTAAGTCCCCACCGTGTTCTTTCTGTTTGACAGTAAGTCTTCACCACATTCTTTCTGTTTGACAGTAAGTCTTCACCATATTCTCTTTGACAATAATTCCTCACCATGTTCTCTCTGTTTGACAGTAAGTCCCCACCATGTTCTTTCTGTTTGACAGTAAGTCTTCACCACATTCTTTCTGTTTGATAGTAAGTCCCCACCATGTTCTTTCTGTTTGACAATAAGTCTTTACCATGTTCTATCTGTTTGTCAATCAGGCTTGTTGAAACCCCAGCTGGACACTGGAACCTTCACAAGGCCCAAGCGAACGCTGACCCCAATGCACGGAGAAGGAGATCAGCCGCAGGAAGGGCAGTACCCGCTCACAGCAACAGATATCAGTGATATAGAGAATCTTGCCAAACAGCAAGAAGAAAGTAAGGAATATTCTTCTTCTTCAGCATTCCGAGCCCTTGGGGCTCAATGTTGCAGGTATAACCATCGTTTGTTCTCTGGTTGACCTTCTCTTTCCAGTTGGTGAAATCAAGTATTTGTAGGTGTGTCTGGGTATTGTCTCTCCATTGTCTTCTTGCTCTGCCTTGTGGTCTGCGACTATCCAACTCCCTTATATACACAGGTTTTGCCTCTTTCATCTGACATTCTCTCAGTATGCCCCAGCTATTTCAGTCTATTAGCCCTCATGATGTCAGTCATCAGTGGTGATTTAAACAGATTATGTATTTCGTTGTTGCTTCTCACTCTCCCTTCCCTGCTGCTTTGATGGGTCCAAAGATTCATCCTAAGAGTCTGTTTTCAAAAAATGTGTCATAGGTAAAAAGTAAAGTAAAGATCCCTTTTCACGCCTTTCGGCGCATCGGGCATATGGGCAGAGCGTCCCATATTTTTACAGATGTGTCATAGGGCTTCATCTTAAAAGAGGAATATTTTTACATATATCTTTCTGTAGCAGTACTTGTTGCAGCTGCAATAGCAATGTGGCTTGACACACACCTGCCAGTCCAAAGGACTTGTGGTCGATTCCCCTTCTATGCAGATTTTGATAGTAAAAATTGGCCGTTGCCCCTATGCCAGTCTAGTCTAAAATGAGTATCAGGGAAGTGTTCTGTGAGTTCAAGGTGGCCAATGTCGTGTTGACCACATTACGCATTGAGTGCTCATTGGTGTATGAAATATGAACTCAGTGTCAAATGCCTTGTGCACAGCTGACGTGAAAAGGGTGCTTTACTTGTGAGTAGATTAGGAAAGGACCCTTTTCCACGCCTTCAGGCATATTGGGCATACAGGGCTAGACCTATACTTTATAGACCAATCGGCATGTCATGTGATGATTGGGTCATCACGCCGGCTGCCTTTACTTCCTGTTACTTAACCTGGAACCCATTCAAGGCTGGGTTGATTTGGGAGCCATGGTCATTTTTTTTAGAAAAGTTGGGTACTGTCAGGATTTGAACCCACAACCTTCTGACCCACTTTTGAGCATCTGGTCACTACACCACAGTGGCTCCCATGCTTGTACTGATAGTAATAGTTGTTTCTTAAGGAAGATTGATTGCTGGGATAGTTGTTTCTTAAGGAAGATTGATTGCTGGGATAGTTGTTTCTTAAGGAAGATTCATTGCTGGAATAGTTGTTTCTTAAGGAAGATTCATTGCTGTTATAGTTGGTTCTTAAGAAAGATTCATTGCTGGGATAGTTGTTTCTTAAGGAAGATTCCTTGCTGGGATAGTTGTTTCTTAAGGAAGATTCATTGCTGGGATAGTTGTTTCTTAAGGAAGATTCATTGCTGGGATAGTTGTTTCTTAAGGAAGATTCATTGCTGGTATAGTTGTTTCTTAAGGAAGATTCATTGCTGGTATAGTTGTTTCTTAAGGAAGATTCATTCCTGAGATATATTCTTTTCCTGAAGTCAATCAACACAGATCTCCAGGGTACTGGTGGCTTGATGTTTTCCTGCAGGTTTGAATCTCCACTGTGGGGAAACAAGATTGCATGAGTAGACCTACTGCCCCATTTTCCCAACCAGAATGTTATAAGAGTCGAATATCTAGGCACTTCCTTCGAAGTCGGACTGCATTTGCTTGAGAGGTAAACAAAACAATCTATGTACAAAGAATTCTGATCTGTAAAACGAATGTGAGGACAACATTCAGGTTCTGGAACAAGAAAAAAGTCCAGAAGTGAACAAACAGCCAAAACTTTCTGTTGGAATTCATAGCCAGTGAATGCGAGGAAGAAGAAGAATCCCCATCGGGATAGATTTATGATAGTTTATCTCGGCTCTCAAGTTGACCCAACCTGAAAAGGATTGTCTTGAAATGTCCTGGTAAGTGAAAGCGACTCTGGTGATATTGACCACATAACGTGCTGAGTGCCAATTTGTCTATACAAATGTGGCCTAACACCATATGCCTGAATGGTTCATTAGTTTCATTACATTACTGGTCAATTTTTTTAAATTCTGAGGATCATGGGATACAAGAATAATTGCTAGATATAATCATGACCATGTACCACACTTCCCAAAGCGCAGTGAGAACACAAGAAGGCATATCTGATATATTTACTATTAGTACAGGGGCAAGGCAGGGATGTGTGCTCTTTCTTCTCTTATTGACTGTATACATAGACAGAATTTTAAAAAAAAAACAGCTTTAAAGCAGAAAATCACAAAAAATTAGACCCACTCAAAATAAACAAGCTACTATTTACAGACGATCAGCAAATGAGGGGAGTTCTAAAAACAGTCCAGCTACAGTTCAACATGCAGAAGCCATGACGAAAAAAAAAGTATATGCAGTGCAAAACTCTATATACCAACTGACAACAGCCAGTGCACTTATATACCGACACCGTTATTAAGATTTTCAAACATAAGTATGAGCTGCAAGAAATAGATTATAAGTGGCATATTCATACCAATACTGTGCTACAAGTGCCAAACTTGGACGTTATCAGAGGATAACCTACGTAAAATTAACACGTGATAAACTGAGATGCCTGAGAAAAGCCGCCAACTTAACAATCTGAGACAAATTTAGAAATGATATTATCAGGGACTGTAGGAACAGCACCGTGCAGCAAATTTATTGAGAAACAGAAGATCAAATGGTTTGGTCATCTAGCTAAAATTGCAGCCAGAACAACTACTACCAGTGCAGGAGCTAAGCTACACATGAAAAGATCTGAAGTAAAAACAAGAGGCCACCCTAGGCAAACATGGATTGATGACAGTAAAGAGCTTCTATATCAGCATGGAATGACGGCTGCCCATCAAACAGTAGATCGCAAACTGTTCCTCCCCACAATGCTTAACGACACAAAATGGAAATTGATGATGATGATGACTGGTCAGTTTTACAAGAACACAATTGCAAGTAACAGAATGGATGTTGTAGCTAGAAAGTCTTTAGCATCCAACTATTTTTTTTTTTTTTGAGGGGATAAAAAAAAACACATACAACTGCTTCCCGTGTGGGTTCCGGGGCCCCATTGTGGGGAAAACAAGAATAGACCCACTGCCTCCCCAAAAGCATGTCGTAAGAGTCGACTAATTGGGGAGCTTCCTTTGATGCCGGAGAGGCAAGGAACCGACAGTCTGTATTCAAGAGAATGAGATCTGTAAAACTGATGCACACGCAACACTCAGGTTCTGGAGCAGGACTGCAGTTCAGTAGTGGACGAGCAACCAGAACCTTCCGCCAGAGTGTACAGCTGGTGACGCAAAGAAGAAGAAGAAGAAGACATACAACTGCATTAAAAGGCTATCAAAAAGGTCGCTTAGCCTATAAACTTTGGCTTCTGGAGACAACTATGTTTTCTTCTTCAGCATTCCGAACCTTTAAAGTTTATAGCTGCAGATATCACTTGCACAAATTTTCTCATTGACTGGCTTTCTCTTTCTCCTTGGTGACCCCAAGTGGTTAGATCTTCCTGTATGTTATCTCTCCACATCTTCTTGGTATACCTTGTGATCTGCTCCCATTCAACCTATCTGCATCCTAGTTTCTTGAATTAAAATATTGCTGTTTACTCTTGTGGTTATTTAACCTCATCAGTGGGTGCATAAGAATTGTTGAGCGTTTATAGTATTCTGTTTTGGGGGATAAGGCCAATTATCTGCATCTCATTATGCAAACACTTGCATGTATCCATATCTCATTATGCAAACATTTGTATTTATCCACATCTTATTATGGTAATGTTTGTATTTATTCAGGTCTCATTATTATACTGTTTGATCCACATCTCATTATCCCATTGCTTGTGTTTATACAGATTTGTGATAAGCTTTGTTTTTATCCAGATTTAAAATATGCTAAGGTTTGCATTGACCCATTATGATAATGTCTGCTTTAATCCTGATTTCATCATGCCACTGCTTTTTATTTATCCAGATCTCATGTTTTTGTTTGTATTTATTTATCCAGATCTCAGACAGAGTCTTACACCTGCCAGTTTGAAAGGTAATATTTTTTTCCCCCTTTACTTACACAGTCAACATTTATTGGTTCAGTTACTGAACAATTTTGCAACTCTGTAGCTTAAGAGGTTAGCAAAGGAGGTTAATCATTTCATGATCCTTGAAAAGAAGGTTTCAGTTTTCATGGGAGACAGTTGAAAGAAACCCCAACCATTCTTAGAGTTTTCAGGCAGTAGTATAAAGGTGGAGGCCCATCAGTGTAATTTCCCATATCTTCTTCTGAGCTCCGGTGACTTATTTGAGAGATGGTGGAGGGGGATAGATCTGATGTTGTAAAAGGTAGCAAATTAGCAGTATTTTCTTCAAAGTCAGAGTACCTTTGCATGAGAGGTGAAGAAGAAACTGTCTGCATGCAGAATAAGCTAGATCTGTAAAACAGATATGCACGCAGAACTCAGTTTCCTGAACAAGACTACAGTCCAGAAGTAGATCAACAATCAGAACTTTCTGCTGGAGTGTACAACTGGTGAATGCTATGAAGAAGAAGAGAAGAAGGTATGCCCAAAGACAGTAGTGGGTTCACAGTAGCCAGCTCTCATTGTGGAGACAGCATGTACATTTTTTTTATACTGACAAGTGAATATTAATGTTGTAAACAATTTGTTTTTGCCATAATAAGAGTCAATAAAAAAAAGTTTTTTCCAAATATTCTTGCTTGATTTCTGTGTACTCATCTGCAGCTGCATATTGTGAATGAAAACAATCTGTAAACATGCAGCATTTACAGAAGGCCGTTGCTGCATTTACAAAAGGTCACAGCTGACATGCTTGCCCTGATGGTCGCATGTTCAGGTCTCCATTGAGCAGGACTGAAGCTCTCAAGTCGATTTAACCTAGTTTTAAATGGGTACCTCCACATGTGGTTTCCGGGGCTTCATTGTTTGGAGTGGGGGATGGAGCAGTAGACACACTGACCCTAGCAAGTATGTCATAAAAGAAAGTCACCTAATTAGGGGTGTTTGCTTTGAAGTCGTAGTGCATCTGCCTGAGAGCCAACAAACGCTTTGAAATCGTAGTGCATCTGCCTAAGAGCCAACAAGTGCTTTGAAGTTGTAGTGCATCTGCCTGAGAGCCAACAAATGCTTTGAAGTCATAGTGCATCTGCCTGAGAGCCAATAAACGCTTTGAAGTCATAGTGCATCTGCCTGAGAGCCAACAAATGCTTTGAAGTCATAGTGCATCTGCCTGAGAGCCAACAAATGTTTTAAAGTCATAGTGCATCTGCCTGAGAGCCAACAACTGCTTTGAAGTCGTAGTGCATCTGCCTGATAACCAACGCACCAACAGTATAAATAAGCTAGGTCTGTAAAATGTACACATAGAAAAATATTCTGAAAATAAGGCTAAACTCCAGAAGTAGACAAACTACCAGAACTTTCCACTGGAGTTTACAACCAGTGAGCACTGAGAAGAAAACAAAATAATTTATACCAGGAAATAGCAAAGTGGCTAGAGGCTGGCTTGAAGGTCTTAGGTTTGAATCTGCACCGAGTGGAATTTTTGTTTCAAAATTGACTTTGGCTCCCAGGTATATATACCTAGTAATATCGGTACCAGATAATGTTAGTTAGTTGAGGTTCCAGCATCACTGCAGATGGTCTCCCCATTCCTGCTCCATTCTTGTGACAGTGGAAGTCACACAAAAAATTCTTCATGGTTCCATTTAAAAACTAGTGAAAATCTTGTCAGTCCCAGCAGAAGCTTGAAGTTTGCACACACACGCATAAGGCAGCTGTTACATGTGCCAACACTAACCATCACACACCAGAATTGCAGCTCACTGGTGGCATCATTGGTTAAGTGGTGAAAGCCAGCATTGTGTCAACTCAGGTAGTGTCGTTAAGTAAAGATGGTGGGCGTGATGTTGACCACATCGCTGACATAGTGCAGATTGGTTTATAAAACTATGAGCCTAGCATCATATGCCTCATGCCCTACTGGTATAGAAAGGTGCCTTTCCTTATGTTCTTTACACTAAAGATGTGGAAGGTGGTCCTTTACTTAAAAAAATAATAATTTATTTTCAACCCTACTTACAGCAATGAGAGCCAAGCATTCGTTAATGGAAGGGGACAACAGAACATGCCACAGTCCAAGTCGATTTGACTGTGAGTAGAAAATAACACATATTTATATGTAACATTTCGGTTTTTGAGTTCTACATCTACAGAATTGTAGATGGCAATTCTACATGTGCCATCATGTATTATTATGTTACATTTAAATCAGTGATCTATGTGTCTCTTCATATATTTTTTGTGAGATTTCACTGCTTGAAAACTGCATTTGTCATCGCATATTTATATATATGCACCGAAAGATATAGTTCTGACTTTACAGCTGCTTCAGTAAAACAGGTAGTCATGTTTGATCGTTGTTGAATTTGTACTTCAATTATAAAGGATTCATTTATCTGCTTCATTTTTGTAATTGTTACTGCATGCACCTGACGAGATACAGGGACATATGCCAGGCAATAAATTGTGCATCTATTGTTTGTGTCTTCTTTGTTCAAACATATTTATGTTTAATCTCACTGGATTGATCCTGTGTGTCCCTTCACATTTCAGTATGAATTTCAATGGATGGATGCTACATGGCCCATCCCATATTTCTATGTTACATTTCAGTGGATGGATGCTACATGGCCCATCCCCTATTTCTATGTTACATTTCAGTGGATGGATGCTACATAGCCCATCCCCTATTTCTATGTTACATTTCAATGGATAGATGCTACATGGCCCATCCCCTATTTCTATGTTACATTTCAGTGGATGGATGCTACATGGCCCATCCCCTATTTCTATGTTAAATTTCAATGGATGGATGCTACATGGCCCATCCCCTATTTCTATGTTAAATTTCAATGGATGGATGCTACATGGCCCATCCCCTATTTCTATGTTACATTTCAGTGGATGGATGCTACATGGCCCATCCCCTATTTCTATGTTACATTTCAGTGAATGGATGCTACATAGCCCATCCCCTATTTCTATGTTAAATTTCAATGGATGGATGCTACATGGCCCATCTCCTATTTCTATGTTACATTTCAATAGATGGATGCTACATGGCCTATCCCCTATTTCTATGTTACATTTCAGTGGATGGATGCTACATGGCCCATCCCCTATTTCTATGTTACATTTCAGTGGATGGATGCTACATGGCCCATCCCCTATTTCTATGTTACATTTCAATGGATGGATGCTACATGGCCCATCCCCTATTTCTATGTTACATTTCAGTGGATGGATGCTACATGGCCCATCCCCTATTTCTATGTTACATTTCAGTGGATGGATGCTACATGGCCCATCTCCTATTTCTATGTTAAATTTCAGTGGATGGATCCTGATTGAGTCATCCCATATTTTTATGTTAAATTTAACTGGATGGATCTTGAATATAATATCAGATGTATTTATGTGTTGTATTTGAGTGGATGATCCTACATGTCCTGTCACACATCTTTGAGTTGAATTTCCTTCATATTATATATTTTGAATTTCAGTGAATGGATCCCACATGTCCCATCATGTATTTCTTTGTTGTATTTCAGTGGATGAATCCTACGTATCCCATCAGGTATCGTTGTATCTGAGTGGATGGATCCTACAGGTCCTGTCACACATCTTTGAGTTAAATTTCCTTCATATTATATATTTTAAATTTCAGTGGATGGATCCTACGTGTCCCATCATATATTATTAGAAATTTCAGCGGATGAATCCTGTGTTTCCTGTCACATACTGGTATGTTCACTTTCAGCAAATTGGTCCTACATGTCATATCACATATTTCTCTGTTGTATTTCAATGGATGAATCCCACATGTCCAGTCACATATTTCTTTGTTGTATTTCAGTGAATATATCCTTCGTATCCCATCCCATATTGTTGTATTTGAGTTGATGGATCCTACGTGTTCCCTCACATTTTTCTCTGTTATATTTCAGTGGATGAATCCTACGTGTCCCATCACATATTGTTGTATTTAAATGTATGGATCTTACATATCCCATCACATGTTTCTTTGTTGTATTTCAGTGGATGCACCCTACATGTCCCATCACATATGTCTTTGTTGTATTTCAGTGGATGGATCCTACGTGTCCCATCACCGAGGCAGTCTAGGCTCAGACCACAGTACACCCCCAGACAGTCCACACAACTCTAGTCCACATTTTCAGCAACTTGGTTCATTAGGTAAGATTTGTTTATTACTGTGGTTATTGTAGTAAATATTATCATTATTATTGTATTATCATTGTCATCTTTCCACCATTCTGGATGGTAGTGTTATATTATGCTATAGAGAGGCAGGGGAATCATTGCTCATGGTGATAGCAAGTGTGACTAGCGGTACCCTTGTCACAGAAGTCTTCCACAGTTAGAGCAAAGGATTTCAGGACTATTGTTGCCATAACATGTATCTAACTTGCTTTTTTTTCTCTTCTTAAATGCTCAGCCATTAGTCTCTCTGCAATCATTTTCTCCTTTTTTGTTTTTTAAAACCATTCCTGATTCCCCCCTCCACTTTTTTCCCCATGCAACATTGTCCATAGCATCCTGGTATTTTCATTATATTATGGCTCACAAGTCATTATATTCTTGGTATTTTCAATATGCACTGCTCTCACACATCATTATCTTTCATATTATGTGCGTGTGTTTCCTATATAATACAATCTCCGTGTGGGTTCTGGTCTCGATTTCGGTGTGCAAAGAATAGATCCACTACCACCCATTCAGAGTCAGAGTGCATCTACCTGAGAGGCAAGGAGCCAATAGTCTACACACAGATAAACCATATCTGCTGTAAAACAGATATGCACGCAAAACTCTGTTCTGGATCAAGACCACCAAAGTCCAGGTGTGGATGAACAACCATAAATTTTAGCTGGGGTTTACAGCCAGTGAACTCTAAGAAGCAGAAGATTTAATATATCATTAAATTCATTGTATTGTGTTGTGATTTTTTAACTCTTTCCAGATGATATTTTGTCTGGGGTTTGGACAGCATTAATTTTGAGCTGAATTTCTAAGAATTCACATGTCTCCTCTGTTCAATTATCTATCAACTTGTCTTTGACTGAAACATTTAATTTCAATACTTTTGATTTTTGTATAGCATGTCAAATTTCACAACAACTGAATTTGGTACACAGCTGATCGAAACAATGATGATCTGACTGAAATATTTTGTTCAATTTCATCCTAACCTAAATTATCATCAATAAGTTTGGCACTTGCATCATAATATTAAGACTATTGTCACTATCTGGTTGAGTTCATCAATGATAGAGTAGAATGAACATTTCTAGACCTTTTCCCTTATCATTTTGTCTGGAAAATCACATAAAAATTGTATTACACTTAATTAAGTATAAACATTTTGTTGTCTTCCAGACAATTCATAGTCATTCATATAAACGATTATCTATTTTGTATTTTCATTATGGTCTGGTATCACAAACCATTATATTCTATGTGTTTTCAATTATGTTCTGGTCTAACAAATCATTATATTCTTGGTGTTTTCATTATATTGAGGCTCGTATACCATTATATTCTTGGTGTTTCCATTATGTTGTGGTCTCATATATCATAATATTCTTGATATTTTCATTATATTGTGGCTAAAATCAAAATTTACTTTTTATTTTGTTTTGGTTCTTACCTAATACATAATTGTATTCTTTCCTGTATTGTGGTTTGATTATTTAATACAATTTTACTGTCTTCCAGGGGATCTGTAGTCATTTGTATGGTTTGGTATTTTCATTATGTTCTGGTCTCACATATTATTGTATGCTTGGTGTTTTCATTATGTCCTGATCTAATACAGCATTATATTTCTTCTAGTTTCATTAAGTTTTAGCTGTACCAAAAAATTCAAAGTCGCATACAGCAGTAAAAGCACACTACCTTTTTGTTTTTGTATGCCAATGGAGTGCCCAGCATGTGTTGCTAAACTCATAATTTTTTTTAACTTGGAAACTTCGGTCATTAAAAAAAAGTAGATGGGCATATACCAAGTACAATGTTTCATCTGTCATTATATTCCACATATTTTCACTATGTTCTGATCTCATCCGTCATTTTAAATACTTTGTATTTGAAATTATATTCTGATCTCACACATGTAATTTGTTTCATTTATATTATTTTTGAATTATTCAGACTCCAGAGGTCGTCGAATGCTTCCCAGCTCACCTGGTTTACACTATCAATCCCACAATTCAAGTGACTCTAGTTTGGAAAGACATAGTGTAGCTAGTGATGAGCTGGATGGAGCTGCAGACGTCAATAGAACACCTGTCTCACACCTGCAGCAGCCCAATTACCGCTCTGCCCCTAGACGGAGTTTGCCCGCAGGTATAGCCCCAGGTCTTGCTCAACAGCAGCAACGCAGCAGTGGCTTGCCGACACCGAGCAAGAAAATCATGAAACCCGCTGCAGTCCGATCGTCATTGCCTATGTTACAAAGGTATGGTGTTTAGAATGAATGGATTGTTAGATCCTTTAAATGTGTATAATTCTTAGATTTTTAGAATCAGTATTATATTAAACATCCGGGAAGGCTAACCCGGTCAACAAATACCCTCAGAAGTTGGATGTGTTGGCTAAAAGGTGCGGATATTACAGCCATTCTGTAAACGGGCACAACCAGAAATTCAAGATCAGCCACATGATTACCGTGGTAACTTTAAATTTATCACATGATCTTTTTGTTTACATAAATCAGAAGAGTGCAGTTTTATTGATACAGCCTCAGCTAGTTTTAATTAGTAAACATCTTTTCAGTGTGTGGTAAATAATTTTGAAGACACAATCCTTATCAGCTATGTGCCTTGGGTCAAGCAGATGCCGTCCTATCAAAGATTTGGATTATCTCTCTTGGTTGATCTTCATAATGATCTTGTGTGTGGAGCCATTCAGGATATGAATGAAAATTCTGTTATATTCTTATAAGGAGTAAATTGTATTTTTTTTTTTTAATGAGTATTGTGTTAGATTCTTATCATGAACATATTTGAATTCTTAGAATGATATTGTATTAGAGTCTTAGAATGGGTTTAGTGTGAGATTCTTAGAATTCTCACTCCTCCCAATTTTCAACATCAGAGAAAGTTCTATTTTATGGTCATTTGAAACAAGTTTCGGTGTCAAGCTTTACAGAAGCCTGCGAGATCTGCAGGGTGCATCTGGCATATCAAAATTGGTGGCAACCCTATTCCGGAACTCCGCTACGCAGATGACACAGTCCTCCCTTTGAACAGCGTAAAGGGAATAGAAAATCTAATATTGTCCGTCCAAAAGCACAGTGAAGATCAAAATCTGTTCTTGAATTTAAAGAAAACGAAAATAATGTCCACAGATAAAACTGGCTGTCACCCAAAAATAACAATAAATAATAAAGAAATTGAAAATGTCACAAACTTTGAATATCAAGGCTCTATAATAAACAACAATGGAGACTGTTCGACAGAAATTAAAAGTAGGATGGCCATAGCAATTAAAAGATTGAACAGCCTTAAAAGTCTATCGTTAAGCACCAGCAAGGAGATAAAAATTAGAATTTTGAGAGCATGCATCTTCCCTGTGGCTACATATGGATGTGAGTCGTGGACTATCTCTCAGTCCTTAAGAAAGAGAATAGGAGCTTTTGAGCTGAAATGCTATAGAAAGGTTCTCAGAATATCTTGGACAAAGAAGATGAGAAATATTGACATCTTAAAAGATCTGAACATCAAGAAAGATTGGCCAATGAACAGCATCCTTTCTCAAAAGCTGAAATATTTTAGTCATATCAAGCGCCACGACGGATTGGAAAAAATTATAGCAGAAGGCATGGTACCTGGAAGGAGGGGCAGAGGCCGACCGACACGAAGATGGGCACAGGATATAAGTGACTCCCTGAGTGTGAAAGTTCATGAGGCGGGAGAACTGGCAAGAGACCGAGTTTCTTACAGGCAGACTGTGATGAGAGCGACGTTCTGCAAAGGACCTGCTACGTGATATATATATATATATATATATATATATATATATATATATATATATATATATATATATATATATATATATATATATATATATATATATATGATGCTAGACTTAGTTTTTAGAGACAGATTGTGCCGATTGGTCAATAAACATAGGTCTAGCCCTGTATGCCTAAGGGCGTGGAAAGGGACCTTCACTTTACTTTAGGACTCAATAGGTGTTGTAGTTGTTCAAGACAGATTAGGACTCGATAGGTGTTGTAGTTTTTAGAGACAGATTAGGACTAGATAGGTGATGTAGTTTTTAGAGACAGATTAGGACTAGATAGGTGATGTAGTTTTTAGAGACAGATTAGGACTAGATAGGTGATGTAGTTTTTAGAGACAGATTAGGACTAGATAGGTAATGTAGTTTTTAGAGACAGATTAGGACTAGATAGGTGATGTAGTTTTTAGAGACAGATTAGGACTAGATAGGTGATGTAGTTTTTAGAGACAGATTAGGACTAGATAGGTGATGTAGTTTTTAGAGACAGATTAGGACTAGATAGGTGATGTAGTTTTTAGAGACAGATTAGGACTAGATAGGTGATGTAGTTTTTAGAGACAGATTAGGACTAGATAGGTGATGTAGTTTTTAGAGACAGATTAGGACTAGATAGGTGATGTAGTTTTTAGAGACAGATTAGGACTAGATAGGTGATGTAGTTTTTAGAGACAGATTAGGACTAGATAGGTGATGTAGTTTTTAGAGACAGATTAGGACTAGATAGGTGATGTAGTTGTTAGAGACAGATTAGGACTAGATAGGTGATGTAGTCAGAATCCTGCCAGCCACATTTGATTCCCAGTACATTTCCTAGTACATATTATAACCTTGGCCAGCCTGGGAAGTAAGTTCATTTTTTTTCCCTTCAAATTTGCATAGTGTGGATTTAAACCCAGGACGTTTAAGCTGGCAGACAAGCATAACAGTTTCATTCACCCTCTTGATGTATTTTTTTCTCTAGGTCAAATATCCCTTCTCCGAAACCACCATCAGTAAGAGGATCCGAGGAAACTTGGAGAGATGGATGTTTCTGAGAGCCAGATCGCTTGTGGGGTTTCAGACACGGGTGTTAGAGTTAAATTATTTCATGTTATGTACATATGGCGGATACTTGTTTGATAGTCGCTTTATTGTGTGGTTTTAACTGCTAGCTGGCGTGAGTTTGGGGTGAAAACACTGACTACTAAATGTTGAGTTGGGAATTGACATCACAGCACTTCCACAAGGGCTCCATCCCCATCTTCAGCAGCAAGCGAACAGTTCCAATTCCGATGGCACCAGTAACTGTCTGATTTAATATCCGTCTCACCTTTTCCTTGAGTGTTGAGCATCGGCCAGATCCACTGACTATTGAATATATTTTTTGGGATAATATTATGGTTGTGGATAAATGGTGCTGAAGTGTATCCTCTCTGTTGAATGGGATTAGACCATGAGCAGACTAAGAAGGCGGCGAAAGAAAATTATATAAGCAGACCTCTGAACGAAGTCACCAATTGGAAGGAGAAAGCCAGTCACAGAGATGAATGGGTGTGGGTGATATCTACAGCAGTAAACCTCGAGGGCTCAGAATGCTGTCGAAGAAGAAGAAGAAGTTTATTCTGTAAATATCTTGTTAAATTATGCTGGAGTTTGTTCTATAAATATCTGGTTAACTCTTTCTGCCTCAACTAACACACTATATATGATCAACTATTGCTCACATGTGCCAAGCTGCTCTTAATCTGATCTGATACTTGGCCTGGGCATACTGTAGAAACCTGGCTAGTTGTTTTAACTCTTAACATATTATATGTTTTGCTGCATTGATGACAGTAATGTTAGACTTGAAAACTTGATGACAACCAGCAAGGTCGATGGGAAATGAGCAAGGGGGGTCAATATTTTGAGACTAGAAGGAAACAAATGTACATACGTGGGGTGGAACTGTGAGGTTTAGAGTTTTCGGTAGTCACCATTAAGAATCAGTTGTACATAAGTGTGGGAGGAACTTTGAAGTTTACAGTTAGTGGTGGTCACCGTCAAGAAACAGTTGTACACATGTATAGGGGGACTTTGAGGTTTAGAATTTCTGATAGTCACCATCAAGAAACAGTTGTACATTTGTGTAAGGGTAACTTCGAGGCTTAGAGTTTGTGATAGTCATTATCAAGAAATAGTTGTACATATTTGCAGGGAAAAATTAGAGGTTTAGAATTTATGGTAGACATCAGTAAATAGTTGTCCATGTATGTAGCAGGAATTTTGAGTTTTACGGTTTGTGATTGTTGCCATAAAGAAACAGCTGTGCATATAAGTAGTGGGAATTCTGAGGTTTAGAGTTTATGGTAGTCACCATCAAAAAACATGTGTGGCAGAAACTTTAAGGTTTAGAGTTTGTGGAAGTCACCGTCAAAAAATTAGTGAACATATATGCAGGAGAACTGAAGTTTTGAGTTTGTAGTAGTCACCAGAAAGAAACCAGTGTAAATATGTGTAAGAAAACTGTGAAGTTTAGTTTTTATTGCAGACTACACTATCAATGATGAGGTAAACATATGAGGGAGAACTGAGGTTTGGATTTTGAAGTAGTCACCACTAGTAATCAGTGCACAGAGATTCAGGTTAATAGGAGACTTCACTACCAATAAACAGGTGCCATGTATGTTAGGGAACTTGGTTGTAGAGTTTGAAGTAGTCACCGCTAGTAATCAGTGCACAGAGATTCAGGTTATTAGGAGACTTCACTACCAATAAACAGGTGCCATGTATGTTAGGGAACTTGGTTGTAGAGTTTGAAGTAGTCACCGCTAGTAATCAGTGCACAGAGATTCAGGTTAATAGGAGACTTCACTACCAATAAACAGGTGCCATGTATGTCAGGGAACTTGGTTGTAGAGTTTGAAGTAGTCACCGCTAGTAATCGGTGCACAGAGATTCAGGTTATTAGGAGACTTCACTACCAATAAACAGGTGCCATGTATGTCAGGGAACTTGGTTGTAGAGTGTGTAGTAGTCACCTGAAGAAACAAGTGTACATATGTGTGGAGGAAGTAAGGTTTAGAGTTAATATCAGACTTCACTACCAATAAACTAGTGTACATATATCAGTGGGAACTGTGAGGTTAAGAATTCATGGAGATTCACTACCAAGAAATATGTATACTTGTGTATGGGAGAATGTGATATTTAGAGTTTATTATTATTATTATGATAGATTTGATTATGAAGAAATGAATATACATATGTGTGGGGAATTGTGAGTTTTTAACCCTACCAGACCTGAGGCCCTGAACCTAACTGTCCCTATAACCTGAGCTCCTGGGCATTAGCGCGCAAAAACCAACATGATATACACAAATATTAGTTACATGCAAACGAGTGGCTAGAATATGATGAAACTTGGAGACATTGTAGTAAATAGGCTTACCTTTAATCTAGCGCCAATATTCCACCTTTCTGAGCGAATTCACTCATCAGGATCAACTTTGTTTCACAAAGTGAACACCAGATGTTGCCGTTGGATGGACACACCCCCTCCTTCTACAATCGATCTATTTCAAGATTATTAATTTTCAAGATTTTCCTCATCATTCGCGATCTCACTGACAGTGTCACTTCAAGAACATATTCTTTATGAAATTATCACAAATAATGAGTATATATATATATATATATATATATATATATATATATATATATATATATATATATGTTTGTGTGTGTGTGTGTATCACAGAGTCTGAATAAACCAAAGTATCGATCACCTGTTGGACTGTGAAAAGCCTAGAACTTGGTTCATCAGCCGCTCGTTTCAATGTGAATTTTCAGAATTTTTCCACGTAAAACAACACAAATATAATCCAAACACATGCGGGCAGACATTTGCAGTGTCTAACAAAGAGGATTGGTAACGATTGGGTGGTTATTTTTAGTCCGTGACACATCGTTTTCCCGTACTACGCAAAAAGCTGAAAATTAGGGCCAGCGGTATAGAGGCATGTTAAGAAATCCCTGGTAAACCGGGCCAGCGGTCTGGTAGGGTTAAGTTTGCTATAGATCTATACACAGAGATAAATGTAGATATATGTAAAGGATTGTGTTGATAGTCTTTAACACCAAGAACAGGTGTAAATATATGTTTGTATATGTTTGGGCAAATTATAAAGCTTTGATTTTGATTAGACTTTGACGCCAAGAAACAGATGTACATATGAGTGGTGAACACTGTGAGTTTTAGAGTATGTAGTAGACATAATCAAGAAACAGGCGTTGGGAACTGTGAGGTTTAGAGTTTTCTTGTAGACTTCTCCATCAAGAAACACATATACATATCTGTGATTACAATGTGAGGTTTAGAGTTTTGCGGTAGATTTGACAAACAAGGAGCAGATATACATATGTGTGGGTGTAGAGAATGTAGCTTCACCACACAGAAGCAGGTGTACATATGTTTTGGGGGAGCATAATTTAGAGTTTCTAGTAGTCACAGAAAGAAACAAGTGTACGTATGTGTGGTGGAGGAACTGAGATTTAGCTTTCATAGCAAACTTCACTACCAATAAACAGGTGTACATATGCATAGGGAACATAGGTTTAGAGTTTGTAGTTGTCAAACCAAGAAGTCAGTGTACATATGAGTGGAGCAATTGATGTTATAGTTAATAGGAGACTTTACTAGCAATAAACAGGTGTGCGTGTGCTTTGGGGAACTTAGGTATAGAGTTTGTAGTAGTCACCTGGAGAAACAAATATATATATATATGTGTGTGTGTGGGGAAACTGAGTTTTAATAGCAGACTTCACTACCAATAAACAGGTGTACATGTGTGTGTGGGAACTGTGAAGTTTAGAATTTATTGGGATTAACCACACAGAAATAGGTGTACATAAGTGTGGAGGAATATAATTTGTAGTGTTTATTATTATATTTCAAATTGAAGAAATAAATGTACACATGAATGGGGAGCTGGGAGGTTTTAGAGTTTGCTATATATCTGCACACATAAATAAGTGTACATATGTGTAATGAATTGTAAGATTTAGAGTTCATATTCTTGAACACCAATATATGTTTGAGAAAAATCAGAGTGCATCTGTTCTGCCTGATCAGCAAGGAACAAATAAGCCAGTGAAAACAGATGCACACGTAAAACTCAGGCCATGGCACAAAGCCAGAGTCCAAATGGATGAACAGCCAGGACTTTCCGCGAAGCGTACAGGCAGTGAACAAAGAGGTTTAGAGTATGTAGTAGAAGTCATCAAGAAATAGGTGTAAATATGTGTGGGGAACTGAAGTTCAGAGTTTATTGTACTCACCATCAAGAAACTGATGTGCTTATGTGTGGGGACCTGAGATTTAGAGTTTGTTGTAGACTTCACCAACAAAAAACAGGTGTACATGTGTGTGTGTTGACACTGCAAGGTGTAGAGAATAGAGCAAATTTCACCACTAGAACTGAGGAAATTTGAGGTTTAATGTATTTAGCATCTCTGCCAAGAAGCAGGTATACAACGCAAAGACACTTCAGTTATATTGCTATAAAATCTTCTTAACGAATTTCTCTCCGCTGCTGCAATTATAAGTGTGGTAATTTGTACGGTGTAACAAGAGACAATATGATTTGTGTAATTCAGTTGAAAGGATTCATTTTTCTACTTCATTATACTAACTTTGCAGTTATGAGCCTGATGAGATAGAATGAGTTACGATTTCAGAATCAACATCAAAGCCACTCTCAACATTCTCATTAGCGCTCTGTCCACATCTTTAACAGTAAGCAGAGTTTCAATTCTGAAGTTACCAGTAAAAGACTGATTGTACGTCAGTCTCAACCCTCCTCTGAGTGGTGAGCATCGGTCAGATCCTCTGGTCATTCTTCATTGCAACATTCTCTTTAGACTGTGAGTAGCTATTTGTGCCTCGGCACTGTTTACTTGCTCCCAAAGAGCCTTTACATCTAGCTTGTCAATCCTTCCATCTATTTGCCTGTTTATTTCCAAACACACCAGCATGCCTTGGGAAAAAATATCCAAAGTACTAACTACCCATGAC